AAGTGATAATGTGGTACTTTTTCCATTTGCTTTCCACATCGCAGTACAACAGCCGTTCAAACCACTCTGGTCACGCCTGTTGCTATACGAACTTGAACCAACTCGAGCATCATTTGCTCTGTGCTTCAAGTCGCTGCTGCTGATGCTGCTTCCGGCAGCACCTTAAGAGCTGCATTTAGTATAGTAATTACGTAATCGTGTTCAAATTAATTAATAATAATACTATATTCATAGCTTCTGCTATATATATGTGGTTTGTTATTGCAAATAATTCATTTAAATTCTTTATTCATTTAAGTGCTTACTTAACAGGCGACAGGACAGTTACACATAAGTACCAGCAAAAGAACGAATCAAGTTAACTTGTGTCATTTGAACGACAATAAATATTCAGTAACTGCAACCGCGCGAACCATTTCCTGATGACATATGTATATGTGTGTGTGTGTGTGTGTATGTGTGCAGTTAACAGTTCTTAAATACTGAATGACACCCAGAAGGGTACATGGCCCACAACTATATCACTCGGCACCCCTGATTTTAAACTACTACAAACTGAGCATCACTTTTCAGTGGCATGAGGTGTTTCTGACGTCACTATTAAGGAAGTAAAAGGTAAAGGCAAAGCTATCCCTGTAACAGGCCATGGAGGCACATAAAGCTGTGAGACGTCGAGTCTCCCACATCATCTAGACAATCGGCTCACAGATGGCAGTAAGTTTTGTCAGCCTTACGCGATTCAGGAAGTAAACTATGCAGGTAATCAAAAGCACTGGGAAGAAGTGAGAAATATATATGTATATATATATAATTTTATTTGCGTCTCATCAAAGGAAGATATCACAAGAGACCAAGACCTCGACAGGAAGATGTCAAAAATTATTATATCAAGAAATAGGGTATAAAGTTGTGAGTGGATTGAACTGGCTCCGGATAGGGTCCAGCGGTAGGGTTTTATTAATGACGATGAATAGTCGGGTGCCTTAAAAGTAAGGAAATTCTCGACTGGCTGAGTAATAAATAACTTTTCCTAGAAGATTCTACATAGGATTGAGTGAGTGAGATATTTGGTTAAGTTATTGGATGCATGAATTAATTTACTCTGTTTGGGAGATAAGCATTTGGAGTCTCGGCTGAGGCACAGGCTTTCCTTACTGATATCTTTCGGTTTTTTCTTCTCACTTCCTTTTTATGAACGCTAAAGTATTAAGTCTACCTCGAAGGAAGCCATGATCACCTCTGCCTCATGTCACAACTTGAGATGCTTGTTACTCAGAATTCTCATTTGTTTGACAGAACCACGACGCCTCGTGGAGACTCGACTCGAGTGGAAGCAGCAGGTTGGAAAGGTGAAAGTTCAAGGTCGAGGCAAATCCCGGAAGACCCGGTGGAGACGCTCCGTAAGCAAGGAACGACACGTCGAAGCACTCTTGAGTGGCTGACATGTCCATGATGAAATTCCACGAAGATAGCGATGTCGAAACATACATCCTCACAATCATGAATATTGTATCGGCCCTTTATCGCGACGCCAGCATAGGCAACAGTATAAACGTCGTCGTCGTCGTAAGGATTATACTACTGGAGGATGAAGTGTCCCAGTTGAAAACACACTGTGGTTTTGGAGTATGGGAAAATGCACTTGAAAAATAATACATTCTTTACTGCCCTAATGTTATATACATTATAGGTAAATCCCTTACTTTATCTCTTTATTACTACATCCTCGTCGCTTTATTCGGATTCTTCTTTGTGTCAACAGTAGGAATGTGTCATCTTCCGTTTTGGAGGTGTTTTAATTTAGCTACCGTAGTTAATCAACCATCCTATTTACTCCAAAGAATTGCTGGGAACTTAACATAGATGATCAAGAAATTATCCCCCTTTTATAGAGCCTGAAGGTTCATTTCCATGTTCACAAGATCTCGGCTTTTTTCCTCTCGTGAGTTAGTTCAATCCAATCTACGGTCTTAGACTCTTATATTTTAAGAACTCTTCCAATTACTCAACGTTTTCCAAGACACCTCTTCCCTTCAGATTTTCACACTTCTATTTTTGTGCATTTTTCATTTATTTATACACCATGAAAAGTCAGTTTTATGGGTTTGCAGCTAATACATTTCCTTCGAGTTTAAACTCTGCGTATTGCTGTAGGTTTACTAAAAACCGTTTTTTCTTTTGCTGAGTTGAAATTTTAAACACATCGAATGTCATCTAAATTTAAAAATCTAACCATGACCCCTGGAAAGAAATATCCATAACGGTCAGCGTAAAGTTTAGGGTGGGGGGGCACACTTTCTGTCCCATTTCCAAGTTCAGACATGCCTGATTAAGCGTGCCTTAATTCCAGTATATATCAATACCCCTCAATTTGTGCGTTTCAGAGAGATCTGAACATCACTGTGAACGCTGACGAAACCCTAGCCAGCTTCTGCAATTGGCAGATGGGCCTCAACCATCCTGAGGACTCTCATCCAAATCATCACGACGTGGCGATCCTTATCACAAGGTATGTTCGGCAGGATCGGCTATTTTGTATTTATAAGACATAGGGTTCCTACCATCATAAAATTCAAAAGTTAATATTTTGTTTTTACTATGTCACATCACTCAGTGTCTGAGATCCGGAGATCAGCTGATATATATATATATATATTTTTTTTCTGTGGCGCTACAGCCCCAATTTGGGCCTAGGCCTACCTAGGACTCCTTGGGCGAGTGACCAGCTCGTCGCAAGGCCTCTACCTATACACAAACACAGAAAAACGCACACAAACATCCATGCCCTGAGTGGGATTCGAGCCCACGATCCCGGCTTCCGAGCGAGTGAAAACAGTTCATGCCTTAGACCGCTCGGCTACCGTGACCGGCATATATATATATATATATCACGATATAGCTGATATGTTATCAGCTGAGTTCGACATTACTTTTGCTCTTCTGAAGAAACACCTAACTGAGACATTTATTACTACACGAAACTGTAGCAATTAACATTTTTGATGAACTCCTTCAGCTTTACAGATCGTCGACGAATGTCCCTCTCAAGCACTGTTACTTGAAGGTTCCAGATTCAAATCTATGCACGAAAATCGGCTATTCTGACGAGAGAATTTTCGCTGTGTTCCACAGCCCCTCTAAGAAATACCAAAAGGGTAGGCCCCACCTCGAATTATGCCGCGGCTGTTATCTTTGACGTTCTTTTTAAATTAATTATCCGCTAATGAGCCATCCTTTCGACCCTGTATAATACACGTATGAGCTACTGATATTATCGTTAAATAAGCCGTAAGCAAACACATTCACCTCATGTCTTGACGTGCGTTCGTCCAATAAATCTTTTAACAAATGCCGACGGACTAAAAGGTCATCAGAGAATCATATGTAGCCTCAATATAATGTCACTTTCACTTTTCTTTCAAGAGGTAGTGGGATCATGCCTTGCACCTGAACACAGTACACACAATATATTTTGTGGTGAACGGTCATACTTAGGCATGGCGCCACCAGCATTTCTTCCGCGGCTTGGAAACGTCTAAATATTTGTTCGCAAATTTACGCATTTAAGACGTTTCATATTATTCTTCCTGACCGCCCTACAGCATTTAGAATTAAGAAATAATTATATATTATATTTAAGCATCCTCTTGCCCTCTACACTTCTATATAGCAAATACCATCGTAAATGCAATTTATTTGTAGTTCTTTGGCTTTCTTCTTTTACACTACATGTTTCGGCCGTAACTGGCCATCATCAGGTGTATTTTCACTTACGTAGCTGTCACACTGCACGTAATTTAAATTTTAAAAACACCAGCTCTCTCAATTGCCATTGCTGCGTTTCAATCGGTCCCGATATACCAGAATCTCTTTGCTGATTTTGTCAGTTATGTTTAAAATCTCTGTTAATATACACTCGTCGATTTGATTTAGAATTTTAATTTAAAATTTAAAATTTAAATCACAGGGATACCTGCTCTGTGTCTACATGTGCTGCAGCGGCTACTTCTTCCTTTCAGCACCGTTCACGTATTATTCTATGCAGGCTCCCTGTGTGTATGCCGCTGCTTATCTTTAATACGTTTGCAGATAATCCCTGTGATTTAAATTTTAAATTTTTAAATTGTAATTTAAAATTTTAAATCAAATCGACGAGTGTATATTAACAGAGATTTTAAACATAACTGACAAAATCAGCAAAGAGATTCTGGTATATCGGGACCGATTGAAACGCAGCAATGACAATTGAGACAGCTGGTATTTTTAAATTTTAAATTACGTGCAGTATGACAGCTACGTAAGTGAAAATACACCTGATGATGGCCAGTTACGGCCGAAACATGTAGTGTAAAAGAAAAAAGACAAAAAACTACAAATAAATTGCATTTACGACGGTATTTTTATTATACATATAAGAAATAATTCTTGAATATTGTAATCCTTATTGAATTCATATAGGACATTGGTGGGAAAGCCAGAAGGAAAGAGACCACTGGGAAGACCAAGGCGTAGGTGGGTGGACAATAATAAAATGGATCTTAGAGAGATAAGATGAAGTGGTATGGACTGGATTGGTCTGGCTCAGGATAAGGATCAGTGGAGGGCTCTTGTGAACACGGTTCCATAAAATGCTGAGAAGTTCTTGAGTAGCTGCATAATTGTAGGCTTGTCAAGAAGGGCTAAGTTTCGTGAAGTTAGTATATTTCATTTCTTCAGAATCGATTAAAAAAATCCGAGGGCGGAGGAGGTAATGCCTATTTTAACCTCCCCGCCAGCGTCCAGACTTCTGGGCGCTACTGGGCTGAGTGAGCAAGTCGGTGTAGCGTTAACGCTCTTGACCTGTATCGGAATTGCTTCGAATCCCGTCCTAGACACTGACTGCCGTAAGTGATGGTTTTTCTTCAGTTCTTCCAGAAGTGCCGCACTTATAATACGATCATTTCCTTTCAAATCTTTTTCCATTCGTAACTCACGAGTCATCCTATGATTCGACGTTGTATAGTCTGAGATAACTGACGGCCCTGTGAGTTAAACCACGAAACGCAGTCTACCGGCCTGACGAGGTGAAGGCATCAGTTTGTGAATCAGGACTGATTTCAACATTCCTACGATAAGTGGGGGTAGTAATGGCCGGAAGGGAGTATGTACTGTACTCACTGTGAGCCGTTTAGTGCTTGAGAATAGTGAAGAGAGAAACATAGAGACCTTAGTGAACTTTCTCCTACACTCCAGGCTCCCTCATTCAGGGAACCTAAAATAAGCGTGCACCTTGCCTCTGCAGTACTGTGTCCATCGAAGTAAACTTCTAGTGTATACACCTTGTTAAGATGTTACCAGTGTTGCTGATTATATTAATTTTTCTATTTTTTTTCCTTATTTCTGTGACAGCTGTAGTAACTCGCGGGTCTGCAAAAGAAGCGACCTTGTATTCTTGCCAGAATTTTCTAAACAGGTCACTTTTGGACTGCATATCATTAACATTGGCATATACCGCAAACCATAAGCAGTCTGCCAAATTTTGTTGTTTTCTTCACTAATGTCAGTAAACATGAAAACGCGTACACAAGGTTTTATTCTTTTTCCAATGAGATCATCGGCACAAATACACGATGTTTGCCAAAACATATTATTTTGTGCCAGTGATGCAATCTTTATAACATTATATATGGATGGCCTGCTCCCACGCTTTACATGAGCCTCTGAGCTTTGAGAATACAGTACGCCAGGCCTATAGGGACAGTCTGAAGCTCTTGTGAACTAGAAATATAGCATAGGCGGATAACCCCACAATAATGGGTCAAAATGCACCATGTTTTCAGCAAACCTCTCGTGTTCATGATTTGCTGAGAAGAGAACATCTGTACCTACTAATTAAGGAATACATAATATTGTGACATGACGACTGAAAGCCGGAATAGTCCGTTGCTAGACAATGGCTCACTAACACGTTTCTATGTAGATGAGGATTCGTGGAGACCGACTTAGTACGGAACGCGCTTTCCATGTCAACGGACTCAACAGAGGTTCCCATGGATTCGCGCAAACAACAAATATTTTCCTTGGATACGCGCTAGGCTATAAAAGCGGGAATTTAGAGAAGATTGATTCAGTTTCGTGCGGAGACGGGGTCGAATACCTCCACCGCAGCCCTGAGAGTCATAGGAGGCGAAGAAGAGAGAAGTCTCAAATCTAAGACAATAAAATATGGTCACGAGTCCCTTCGGGACTGGGACCCGAGAATGTCTGTGCTGGCGACAGACACGTCTTCTCGTCAGAGAGTGCGCCCTACATCAACAAACAAACCCACAACTGTCTGACAGTAATAAAAATCTGGTCGTTAGCCCCAGATTGGTGCTTTATTCCAAGACAGACTGGCAGACTGACCGTCGGTCTTAACATTAAAGTAGACTATATTTGTGGTAAAGAGATAGGGCCTAAAAAGTGCTGTTCTTCTGCTAGCACTAATCATTCATTAATATTAATTAGAAGTAAGAATTCAGCTGACAAAACGTAGTTGACAGTGAAGATACATTTGCGCACAAGTTGTCCATAGTGCGATTCCTTGCTTTTAAAAAGAAGTCAAAACTATTGTGCTGCATGTGGCCTGTCACGTTTAATTTTCAAGGTACACGTCACTGTCGGACAGTTCAAGCTATTAGGCCATTAAACCATGGGTACCTCATAGTTACAAACGGCCTCAGCGGCCTCCGTAATCTAGAGGTAACGTTCCCACCTCATGACTCGTAGTACGCGGGTTCAAATACCGGGCGGAGGTCGTCGCATTTTTAAGGGCGGAAAAATTCAGGGAACAAGTCCTCCGGGAGGGACTTTAAGCCGTGGGTCCCGTGTCGTAGCTTTACGGCACGTAAAAGAACCTCATATCTCCAAAGGAGGTCACTGAGCCAAATTAACGGACGTTTCCCGCCCAACAGTAGTCTCTAATACCTCTGGTAGATGGGGGAAGCATTATAGATACCTCTCAGCTAGTAGAGCCGGTCTCGCTGGCTGGGCGGGACTGATGGTAAGCACCAGTACCGGTAGGATATAGAGACTGGTAGAAATCATAGAGGGAAGCACAATGGACCAATACAGGTCTCAGTGCATGGGGAAACCCACCCTCTCCAGTAACTAACTAACTAACAAACGGCCTCAGTCCACTTGAACTACGAGGAGGCTCTGCAATGGGCCCTCGACGTCCCGTATACCTTCCTGGATATGTGGCTCTCAGTAACCGCCGGAAACATTGCCCATAGTGCGCTGTAGCTCCTCTGTCTCGCAGCTAGGGGCACATTCTCAAGCATCCCCGTTAGAAATTTCCAGGAAATCGTAATATCGTTGATCAGTCAGCCTGTCAGGTAGACGACAAGGGCCAACAACAGTGTCCCCTGCGATTTCAACCAAACGCTGACGCTAAAGGGGGCTTGATACCCACGGTTGTGAATGATGTAAGGATCACTGCATGTTCAGAAGTCGCTATTCTGAACGTTGAGCACACCCTCACCCGAAATGGCTTCGTCTCTCCGCAAAATATTATGTAAAAAGAGGTCATCCTTTGTGTGTTGAGTTGTAGGCATTCGCAAAATTACATGCATACAGAATGATCGTCTGGAAACAGATATGTGACCCGCAAGGAGTGATGGATCGCGTTGATTGTCATGAAGTACTCCAAGGTCCCTCGCTCGGGATAGTCCCTATTCTTGTGCGATATCGCGTTAGCTTCTGCAATGCCCTCGTTCCACATTTGAAGTTAGGGTATATTCATTGACTGACATCTGTGCATTACGTCGGACGACCTGCATTCACGTGTGACGTAGGTGCTAAAATTCAGTCTCACAAAGACTCTGTTTCAGTCGTCGAAACACATTAGCATCTGGATGGCGTAGACCAGAGTAATGTAGAGCATATTCCCGTGCAGCGGTACCAGTTCAACCATTGCAAATTCCGAAGGTTAACAGCGTGTGTCAGTGCTCGTCGTCTTTGTATTCCATGATCATTCGATCAGAACTGACCCCCGCTGGGCACTGTCTTGAGTACATGTGACACGCTGTGTATCGTCGTGAAAACACTGCTAAAAAGTTTGTTACCTCTTTTAATGGTGATGTGTACCTCGAAAACTAAGCCCCACGAGACATACATTGTATAAAATTTTTAAGTTGTTTCGTAAAAAGAAATCATATTATGGACAGCTTGAGCACAAATTTCATTTCACTCTGTATAATCAATCAGGTTATGGGCCTATATTTATTTTAGTCAACAATGCGAATGAGCTTAATTGGCCATCCTGATACTAATGTTACATTTATTTTCCTGTTAATTATTCTTTTGTAATAAGTTTTCTTTTTTTAAATTGATGTATCTGTATATGTTTTTATTATGACTAATGTATGAAAATAACATGGCGTCATATTGCATATTATATAAATTGGTTTTAAGAATTCTGTCGACATGATGTTATGGAGTGGTACATAATCAAACAATTTTTACAATTATTTTACTCAGCTACATATGTCGGCCTAATTGAGCATCCAGATACTGATGCAATTTTTTTAATGAAGGAACACAAAGGAACAACACTCAGTGATAGGAAAAATTTTACAGGTATACATAAATTTGCAAAGAATGAAATTGGACACTCTTAGTGTTATTATGACTTAGAAAGCAGACAAAATTTAAGACAACTTGAGTAACATGGAAAAAGCTTTAGAGGCAATGTATTTTAGTAAACTGCATATAGACAATAATTCCAATCAGTTTCTTTACCTCTCTGGGAGTCAGATGAGGTGCAAATACCTTAAGGTGTCACAAGATGGTAAGCAGTACCGTTGCAAATATTCACTACAACCTGCAGTAATGGAGGTAGCAAAGAGACCTAAGCCAGACTGACAGATGACTATTGATCTTTATCCATTTTCATCTCCTTCCTGAGATTTTTATATTTTATATATCATTCCTGCACATGGCAAAAAATTTGAATGTGGCCAGAAATTTGTGAGCTTTCTAAACTATGAGTTTTGCAAGAAGTACATAATTAGTATCATTATTACAATATTCTCCTCCTGTTTCCTTACCAAACTTTGTTTGCGGCACAAAATTTAGTATCAATTACAGCTAAAGATGCACATTAATACTGCTACAATGAAATTGATGTGGTTTTTAAAATGACATTTTTATTCAAAGCAATCATACTTTTGTTAATTCAGGTCTGAACTTGCTGTATTCAACATGCAGAACCCAGTAATTAAGTCCTAAATAGAATTATAAGTTCACGATAAAAAGGTTCGTTCCTAAGTACTATTCTGATACCTTGACTGGAAAAAAGTGATGAAGCTCAAGTGATAAATCTTTTCTCTATTCCAGAGAAAATGCGTCATTCTGTTGTGAACAACTTAGATAACTGATTGCTTTCAGTGTTTTAAAAGTAAATATATGACATTCAGGAGGATTTATTTTCCAGGACACATGTATGAGCAATCAGAAATATGTTTAACATAAATTGTACCATTTATATTTTATGGGCTTTTGAATAGAATGATTTTTGATCTGTTAAAACTTTTCATGCATCTGTTTATCTACAAGATATTGCATGGCATATATGAAAGTCAAAAGGCGTCGTCATACAGTATATGCATGTGCATATGAACAAAATAGGCAAAACGTATTTACTACACTTTCCAGTTTCTTATCTATTATCAACATTCCTAAATCCTTATGGACCGTATATGATTATTACATAACATGTCATGTTTCATGTAACTGGAGGGAGGACATCTGTGCACGCCAGAACACACCATGCAGCACACTAGGAGTGGCACATGTGGGAGGGATGTGCCAACCTGATCGCAGCTGCAATGTCAATGAAGATAATGGGATTACTCTTGCTCACACTATCACACACGAGATGGGCCACAAGTATGTTCACAGCACTACAAATTGGCTTTGCCAGGGTGAAATTTCTGAGCCTGCTATGGGTGGAATGAAAGTGAAGTAGTGAATTGCATATTGTACACTTTATTTCTTATACTTGGTTATTTTGAAAGCTATGATCTTAATATTATAGAATTTAAATCGCAAGTTGACTAGTATATAATTTGTAACAAAGTCAGTAAATTGAAAACTGTGACTGGGATGAACTTCGATTCCCAAGAGGAACAAGAATTTTTTTCTTTCTTTATCACCTTGTCCAGAATGCTTCTGGGTTCCTCTCTCTCATCTCTCTGTTTTCTTCCCCCCCCCCCAAAACCATTTGACATTAAGGACACTTTTCTAGGATATAAAGTGACTAGATCATGGAAGTGAAGTCTGTCTTCATTCCCACATGTCTCCATGATACAGTGCTTAACAGGTAACAGTGCAACAGCAATAATATTACTGTGTGAGGAATCAGGATAAATTGCAGATGCAGTAACATTATGGTGCTCACATTTTCATAATGGCAGTGCTCTTTTGATGTAGTATTATTGTTTCATTTGAACAAATATTGTTCTTGTATATTTTTTGTTCATCTGCTTACCATCATAGGTCAGAATCTCATATTACAGAGCAAAATATCAAGTCAAACAAGTGTTATTTCTTCATTTGCTGTCTCATTACAGCGTTCATAGTGTGTTTGCTTTGTGTTAGAGAGAGCTCAACATTCTGGAGAAACATGTGGTTTGGTGTTGAAGGGTAAGTAAGGCAAGAAATCAGAAAGATCAGTATCTTGCTTGGCTTACCCTTTGTCTGTGAAGGTGGAGTAGATATATGCTTCCAAAATGTCAAGATCTTGCCGAAGTGTACAGTGTTACAGCCCAGAATCTTAATAATCACATGAAGTCTAATATGTCTTGTTTAAACACTAGTGCAAAGCATCCTTATTATTTCAAGAAGTATTCCTGTGGGAAAGAACATAGGTAGGACATACTGCCAGTGCTCAGTATAAAGGGACTCAAATTTGCATATCATAATTATATATACAGGGCCTGTTTTCAAATAAACAAAAAACAAACTCCATGATTTTAGTCCGCAAGCGAACTATACTGACCGAGCGATCGCTGCTTGTCGGCGAAGTTTAGTGCCAACTTTTGTGGATATAGGGTGTTGCATGGTCAGTGCAATGAATCCCCATAGCTGTTTATTTCGGTTTTCTAGACCGGAGCCGCTATTTCCTTGAAATAGCTCCTTGGGACTGTTGTCATGTGACCAAAATAATTAATATAGGGAGAAGAGTGAAAAAGTTAAAGTTATGAGTTAAATGCATTTGTAGGACTTTCATAAAATTATTTTTGGTGGTTCAAAATGTCAGCATGGTACAACATTAACATTTTAAGTTAATCTTCCAAATTTCAAGTATTAAAATGAAGTACCAACAGAAATTCGTGCAGAAGTATAACATCATCAGAATTTTTAAAATTTTGGGACGATATTTGTTCAGAAGAACATTCCAACAACAATCACAATTGTCAGAAAAGTAAGAAAGTAAAAATAAATTTCTTGTAAAGAACTAAATGAGATTTCAGCAACAATCGCAATTGGCACAGAAAAGTAAGAAACTAAAAATAAGTTTCTTGTAAGGAATTAAATGAGATGCCTTCCAATATACTTTGATTCAAAAGTGCGCCAACTTCTTCTTCAAGCAAATAGTTCAGAACTGGTTCTCCTCTGAATGTTGAGTTAAATTTTAGCCTGTCTCAAGCTTATCTGTTGGAGTAGACATTGTTCTGGCATCATCCATCATTGTCTTGTAACCTCAATGAAGATGACCAGACAAAGAAGAAAATAGGCGCAAATTCTAACTTCAGTTTGACAGAAAAGTGAAAATTTTACTAATATTACTAATCTGTTGACTTCAGTTTTGGCATGTACCATGACACAGAGAAGATTGGCTGCAGCCGCCGTCAGGGAAATACCTTACATGTGATGACACCGAGCTTTGAAGCCGATGCTGTAGAAGTCGCATGGTCAAGCTGCAGTAGGCGTGACATCACAAACTTCCTCGAGTGAGTGAGTGACCAGCAGACTTTTTATTATTTGCCGAGATCAGTTGATAATACAACATTCTGCTGTGGTAACTGCTGAAATGGATTAGCATAGTTACTAGTGAAGAATGAATTCACGGGGGAAAGGAATTGAAGAACAATACTCATAGTAAATATACTGAACTCCTCGGTTTCATTTATCAATGTGTGGTAGTTGGCTAAAATGTGGTTTGGAGATTATACAGAGTGTAAAACAAGACATGCAATAGGATTTTGAAATTTACCTAGCACGTCCACAAAGTAAGTTTCCCACTCGTCCCACAGCTAGCAAATCTTATATTGCGCGAAGCGACTGCGCGTACGTGATAGAGCAATAACGTAGCATGGCGCATGCACTAACGGAATTTCCCGCGTTCCCACAGTAGCATCGTTGCAGCTGTTGAAGATGGAGGTTCTTATTCAAACTCCCGCCGACTGTGAAGTGCGGTCAGTGATAAAGTTTTTGAATGCACAGAACATAGCGCCGATCGAAATTCATCGTCAGCTGTGCCGGGTCTATGGGCCTAACATCGTGAGCAAGCAGATGGTGCGTCGCTGGTGCAGACAATTATCAGCAGGTCGACAAAGTGTGCACGATGAGAAGCGCAGTGGGTGGCCATCCATAATTACAGACGACCTGATGGAGCTTGTGCGGGAACGCATTATGGAGAATCGTCGCGTCACAATTACGGAACGCAGCAGTCATGTCCCGCAGATTTCCCGCCCCTTGTTGCACGAAATTTTCACGGAGCACCTGTTGTTCAGGAAATTGTGGCCGGGTGGGTGCCGAAGCAACTGACACCAGAACACAAAACAAAGCACATGGTGTCAGCATTGACATTTCTGCAGCGGTACCATGATGACGGCGACGAGTTTCTGGACCGGATCATCACAAGTGATGAAACGTGGATTGCACACATTACCCCAGAAACCAAGCAGCAGTCAATGCACTGGCGTCACAGTGAATCTCCCTGTAAGACGAAATTCAAGAAGACATTGTCGGCGTGGAAAGTGATGTGCACGGTATTCTGGGACACGTCGACTTCCTGACCAGAGGTGAGACGGTGAATGCTGAGCGTTGCTGTGAAACACTGTATAAATTGTGTCGGGCCATTCAGAACAAGTGGCGCAGGATGCTTAGTGCCGGTATTGTCTTCCTGCATGATGACGCTAGGCCGCACACGGCTCGACGGCCAGCAAGTCTCCTGCAGGAGTTCAGCTGGGAGGTGTGTAAACATCCACCCTACAGCCCGGACCTCACTCCCAGTGATTTCCATCTTTTCCTACACCTCAAGAAATTCCTGTCCGGTGAGCGTCAGTGTTTTGAGAATGACAGAGAGGCGGAGATGGTTGTCACACAGTGGTTCCAATCCCAGGCGGCAGACTTCTACAACACAGGTATTCAAAATTTGGTCCCACGGTATGACACATGTCTCAATTCCGGTGGCGATTATGTTGAAAAATAGCTGAACACTTGCTGTATCTGTTGCAATAAATATTTCCATGAAATTGTGTTTTGTTTCTGTAAATGGCCCCAGGGAAACTTACTTTGTGGATGAGCCTCGTATATACATTTTAAAATGTTGTAATTATGAGTTATGAAAATTTTCCTGCATGATTTTAGACTCATGAAAACTGTGTTGCCAGGAATAGTCTGAGAATTTTAGATACACCCTATGAATGTGATAAAATGTAATACATCATACCTTTCTAGAAAAATGGGAAGGTTACTTGCTAAGGTAAATTAGCACAAATATTTTTACCTGTCTGGATTACCATATGGACAGAATTTAAGAATTTCAAGCAATAAGACCAATAGTCAATAATGTTTTATTCCATATGAATTTGAACAACAAATGCCAGTTGGCACAATCTTCCACTATAGCAGTTCTCTCAAGCACTGGTTTGCAGAATGAGAATGATCCTCAATATTTTTAATGGCAGTCACCTTCAATTAGTGGAAATATTAAGGCAACTAAAATTGATATGATGATTGTTATTACAAGATTTATATTTCTTAATATATTAATTCATGAAAATTCTTTGACTTCCATTACGTGATTTCAGACACTTCACTAAGCGATGAACTTGGTTTGATGGACTTGTTCACTGAGTAACTCTGTATCAATTTCTTTTTATATAATAAAAAGAATTCCTTTTTTAACAATAGAAGGCAAATATAAGGAATGCGGTTAAAACAGTGATGTTATTCAGATGCAAGCTAGTAGCTTTTAAATAAAAATGATCTACAGTCTAAAGGATATATATTTTCTAACTTCATTGCTTTCTAAGAAGTTAATGATTGATTGTTATTTCAGTTGATAGGCCATGTGGGCCTCTAGATAGGTTTTCAGGTTTAAAGCATCATATAGCATCAACAGCAAATTAAGATGTAGAATACATAATCAGTCCATGTTAGGTGGGTCCATTGTCACCATGGCATGGCGCATCCTCAGGTTGCGAATAGAGGAGACACCCTCAAGTTTTGGAAGGAAGCTGCAAATATATTGAATAAGCAGTCGCCAACAGCCGACAAGGGTGGTCCTCCATCTTGGGGGTTGGGCATGGGGCTAACAATTCCTCACTGTAAAGAATAAACTTGTGAAGAAAATTCTCAATAAGCCTCGGACCTGTACAGATTCCTTGGATGAATGACCTAAGCTAAAGAAAATGGCAATGAGATTTGGTACATGGAAAGTTCAAACTTTGTATAGGGCAGGTTCTCTTAGTGCAGTGGCGGAAGAAATCTTAAAATATATTAGATTTAGCGGGGCTTCAGGAGGTCAGATGAGACTGAGGTGGCATCGCACCAGCTGGCAAATTACATTTTTATGTGGAAAGGGGAATGAAAATCATGAATTAGTTACAGGTTTTTTTGTACATAAGAGAATCGTATCAGCAGTTAAGAGGGTAGAATTCATTAGTGATAAGATATCATATATAATACTAAAAGGCCGCTGGTGTGATATCATCCTTACGATGTTCATGCACCAACAGAAGATAAAATTGATGACATCAAGGACAGCTTCTATGAAGAACTAGAACATTTATTTGATAAATTCCCGAAGTATCCTATGAAAATTTTGTTAGGAGATTTCATTGCCAAAGTAGGGAGGGAAGACATTTTCAAACCAACAATTGGGAATGAGAGTTTGCATAAAATTAGTCATAATAATGGAGTCAGAGTAATAAACTTTGCCACATCAAAAGATCTTACTGTCAAAAGTACAATATTCCCACATCGTAACATCCATAAATTTACTTGGACATCTCCTGATTGGAAGATACACAATTAAATTGACCATATTTTGATAGATAGGAGACAGCCTTCAAGTATACTTGACTGAGGGCAGCAGATTGTGATATTAACCACTACCTGGTTGAGGCAAAGGTTAGGGAAAGACTGGCAGTCAGCAAACAAACAATGCAAAGAGTTCATATGGACAGGTTCAATCTCAAGAAATTAAATGAGGTAGAGGGTAAAGAGCAGTATCATGTTGAAATCTCAAATAGGTTTGCGGCTTTGGAAAACTTGGACCCTGAGGTGGATGTTAATAAAGCTTGGGAAACTATTAGAGAAAATTTCTGCTAAGGAGAGTCTAGGTTATTATGAACTGAGGAAGCATAAGCCATGGTTCGATGAAGGATGCTCAAAATTACTAAAAAAAAAATGGAAGCTAAATTGCAATGGTTACAGGATCCAAGCAAAATAGATACGGATAATCTGAACAATATAAGAAGTGAAACCAGCAGGCATTTCAGGAATAAAAAGAAGGAATATCTGAAAGACAAAATTGATGAGCTTTAAATGAACAGTAAGAACAAGAACATTAGAGACCTGCACAGAGGAATAAATGGCTTTAAGAGCTGTTACCAACCTAGAAGTAACTTAGTGAAGGGTGAGAATGGTGATCTGCTTGCAGATTCCCACAACAATTTGAATAGGTGGAAGAACTACTATTCTCAGTTAACTAATGTACATAGGGTCAGTGATGTTAGGCAGATAGAAATGTACACCGCTGAGCCATTAATACCTGATCCCAGCCCTTTTGAGGTTGAAATTGCTATTGCAAAATTGAAAAGGTATAAATCGCCAGATAGTGATCAAATTCTGGCAGAATTTGTTCGAGCAGGAGGCGAAATATTACGTTCTAAGATCCATAAGCTAATTAATTATATTTGGTATAAGGAAAAATTGCCTGATCAGTGGAAGGAGTCTATTATTGTACCAGTTCACAAGAAGGATGATAAAACTGACTGTAGTAATTATCGGGGGATATCACTGCTATCAGTTTCATACAAAATTTTATCCAATATTCTTCTCTCAAGCTTAAGTCCATACATAGCTGAAATTATTGGGGGTCATCAGTATGGGTTTCGAGGTACGAGATCAACTACTGATCAGATGTTTTGCATTCTTCAGATATTGGAGAAGAAATCGGAGTACAATGAGACAGTACATCAGCTATTTGTAGACTTCAAGAAAGCAATGATTCAGTTAGGAGGGAAGTATTGTACAGTATTCTGATAGAGATTGGGATACCCATGAAACTAGTTAAGCTAATTAAAATGTGTTTAAACGAAACTAATAGTAAAGTCCGTATAGGTAAACATTTGTCTGATAAATTTCCTATCCAGAATGGTCTAAAACAAGGAGATGCTTTATCGCTTTATCAACTTTGCTTTAGAATATGCAATTATTAAGGTCTAGGAAAACAAGGTGGGACTGAAATTAAACGGGACACATCAGCTGTTGGTCTATGCCAATGACATGAATCTGCTGGGTGATAATGTAGATACCATAAAGAAAAACACACAAACTTTAATTGACGCAAGTAACGAGATTGGTCTAGAAGTAAACACAGAGAAAACTAAGTATATGTTGCTGTCTCATGACCAAAATGCAGGGAAAAATCATGACATAATGATAGAAAACAGATGTTTTGAAAATGTGGCATAGTTCAGATATTTGGGAGCAACGATAACAAACCAAAACCTGATTCAGGAGGAAATTAAGAGGAGATTGAACTCGGGCAATGCTTGCTACCATTCAGTCCAGAAACCTTTTGTCTTCTCATCTGCTGTCAAAACACATAAAAATTATAATATACAGAACTCTAATTTTGCCTGTGTTTCTGTATGGATGTGGAACTTGGTCTCTGACATTAAGGGAGGAACACAGACTGAGGGTGTTTGAGAACAGGGTCTTGAGGAGAATATTTGGACCGAAGAGAGATGAAGTGACAGAGGTTGGAGAAAACTACATAATGAGAAGCTTCATAACTTGTGCTCTTCTCCAAGTATAATTAGAATGATGAAGTCAAGGAAGATGAGGTGTAGCAGAGCATGTAGCATGAATGGGGGAGAAAGGGAATGCATGTAGGATATTAGTGGGAAAGCCAGAAGGAAAGATACCACTGGGAAGACCAATGCATAGGTGAGTGGACAATATTAAAATTGATCTTAGAGAGATAGGCTGGGATGATATGGATTTGATTGATCTGGCTCAGGATAGGGACCAGTTGAGGGCTCTTCTGAACATGGTAATGAACATTCAGGTTACATAAAATGCTGGGAAATTCTTGAGTAGCTGCAGATTTGGCTTCTCAAGAAGGGCTCAGCTCCATAAGTAAGTAAGTAAGTACATAATCAGTTCTTAGTGTTATTAAACAGNTTTATAATTTCCTAAAATATATATATATATATCATTATTTCTATCATTAATTTATCCCTACTGATTAAATTCACTTGTCATTAACACATCTGGGCACTGTGAAATGCTTCAAATACAAATAAAGTAACATATCATATTATATATTGTAATACAATAATCAGGATATATACTATACCTAAGAAATTCTACCTCAGTAAAATTTTATGTGGTTTCAGCCAAGGAAGTGGTCAGTGTCTTGAGGATGAACCCACTCAGAATGATTATAACTACCCAGACCTCCCTCCTGGAGCCATGTACAATGCAGATCATCAGTGCAGACTACAGTTTGGAACACGCATGACTGCAGTGTGCACACTACTTGAAGAGGTTCGCTTAATCACTGGTTACTATAATGTTAGTTAACAGAACTGAACTTCAGAATATACAATATATTATGGTCCATAATATGCATAATCAGAGGGTGAATTCTGAAGAAAAATTATTGCATCCATTTGAGTCTCGACTTCAGAAGTACTTATCAAGCGAAACATCAATGCAGCAGGGCGCTTTTACTGGTTCTGGAACCCCCAAAATCTAAGCCACTACTCTAACCCTGTCACCACTCCCTGGATTTTCACTTTTCTCAAAGAGTGCCTATTTTTCAGTGCTATCAATGGCATTGCTGATACTAAACTTCTTGAAAGATATCACAGATGTTTCCTATTTTACAGACTCCTGTGAATTATTTGTCTATTCACAAACACATGATATGGTTGGCCACTTCATTCAGTCAGTGTCAAATTGTGGTCTGTTGCCTCTATTTATTTGGTCCATTTCTCACTCATGAATGTGTTAAATGGTTTACTGAGATATCTAGTGGCTGCAATTGGCTGATAAAGCCTCTAGCCACAGCTTCATTCCACCCATCAATTCTTTAAAATGAATATGGATAAATATTCTTCATGGAATTTTATCTTTAGTCATTGCAATGAAGGCAGTTTTGTACCATCAGCCCAACATGTTAAAGTGGCTTTGTAATATTTCTTCTCCTGAACAGAAGTTATATCATGACTGAATTAGCATGTCCACAGTCCTGTACAATGCAGCATGGAAAAAGCTGAGGAACTTCGTCAATGTTTCCATCTGCCTGACTTAAAAACAGGATTTCTTCCTTGCAGCAATCACAGAGATCTCATGCTCCATAATTTTTGTTTCATATTTGTCTGGCATCTTTTGTGCTATCCTACCACCTCTGTGGTCTAGTGGTCAGAGTTCCTGGCTACAGATCCAGAGGTCCGGGTTTGATTCCTGGCGCTACCAGATTTCTTGAGAAGTAGTGGGTCTGGAACGGGGTCCATTCAGCCTCGTGAGGATAATTGAGCTATTTCAAGGAAATAGTAGCTCCGGTCTAGAAAACCGTAATTAATGGCCATGGGGATTCGTTGTGCTGACCACGTGACACCCTCTATCTGCTAAAGTTGGCACTAACTTTGCCTACGAGCGGCGGTTGCTCGGTCGGTATAGTTTGCTTGCAGACTCAAGCCACGGAGTTTCTCTTCTAGATCAATACCTACGCTTAGGCCATGCTCCTTCATAAATCTGTAACACCAAGAAGTTTTGCCAGTAAAAGACTGCCTTCCTGTGTGGAGACCTTGAGGAGGAAAACTACATGGAGATACCAGAAGTATACAAGAACACTGGCAAGATATGAAGAAAGTCGTCTTCTGGGTTTAGGCACCCAGAAGACGACTTTCTTCATTGTCATCGCCGTGAAAACCTCAAAACTTACTGGCAAGATATGTCTCCTGAAAAAGGCATTATAGGGCCTAAGACAAGCACCATTGCAATGGAACAAGAAGTTGACATCCTTTCTAAAAGAAGACGGTCTAAACCAACTAAAATCTGACCAGTGCATTTTTAAGAATGATGNTGAAAAAGGCATTATATGGCCTAAGACAAGCACCATCACATTGGAACAAGAAGTTGACAACCTTCCTAAAAGAAGAAGGTCTAAACCAACTAAAATCTGACCAGTGCATTTTTAAGAATGATGCCAATAGTTTGTTCATTGCCATTCATGTGGATGACATGATAATCATGGGAGAAGATGAAAGACAAATAGAGGAAATTTTGCTGAAACTGGAAAATCAATTCCAGATACCAAAAGCCACAAATCCAAAAGTTTATTTAGGAATACAAATTGAGAGGCAACCAGATGGGATACATATCTCTCAAACCAACTGTGCAAGCCAAATGTTGGAAAAATACAACATGCAAGAAAGTTGAGAAATGAAAACACCCATGGCCACGACCCCACCAACAAATGACGAAGGAGAAAATGACATAAGATTTCCTTACAGAGAAGCTGTAGGAAGCCTGCTATATATGGCATTCGCTGTAAATGTGGAAAGTCGAACCTTGGAAAATCCTGACAAAATAGCTATTCAGAATGTGAAAAGGACTCTTAGGTATGTGAAAGCTACACAAGATTCAGGAATAAAATATACCTCATCTGACTCCGAAACTGTGAAACTGGAAGAATTTAATGATGTTGATTATGCAGGGGATGTAAAGGATAGGAAGAGTGTAACGGGATATGTAATTATGATGTCAGGGGGCCCAATATCATGGTGCTCTAGGAAACAGAGTATTGTTGCATTATCAACCACTGAGGCTGAATATATTGCAGCAGCTGAGTGCTGTAAAGAATTGAAATATCTAAAGACATTGATAGAGGAGTTCACAGGAGAAAGGGTGGAAGCTGAACTGTGTGCCGACAATCAGAGTGCAATCAAGCTAATAGAATTTGGACAAGTAACGCATAGGAGTAAGCACATAGACATTAGGTATCACTACATAAGTGAACAATTGAAAGAGAAACTGTTCTCAATCAAATATTGTAACACTGAAACTCAGGTGGCAGACATTTTAACAAAATTGCTATCACCAGAGAAATTTACAAAGTTTAGCGAAATTATACTTAAGAAGAAATAAGTGTGATTTTGATAAGACTGAGAAAATTTTAATTACATCTACTAATTTTGTAATCTGAAGACTAAAATTACTAAGTGATATTCAATTTAACTTTGTAAAACAGCTAATAATGTTGATAACATTTTGAAATTAAGGAGGAATGTTGAGAATCTAGTAATGTAAAAATGATCATGTTGGTAATAGTGATCAATATTCATTTGTTTTTGTTTTGTATTATAATAAAAAGTTTCTTCTCATCCAGTATGGCTGTTAAGTGGTATGTAAGCATGACACAAAGAAAATCAACAATATGTTGATGGTACTTTATGAAATAGAATACAAAAGTGTTCTGAAATGTAAGTTGTTTATTTTGCATATATGCTGTTGCAGATCTGCTCACGACTCTGGTGCGTGGTGGATGGGATGTGTACCACAATGTTGCGCCCTGCTGCAGCAGGAACACACTGTGGGAAGCACATGGTGAGCCTATGGGGTGAGGGAGAGACTAATTATTTCTAGCTGTAGGCCCTTCACTGATTTCTGTTTCATACACAGTTTGTTGCAGTGTGAATATCCAAACACAAGTCTATGTTCTTGCAATCGCTTCTTTTAAATATTAATACATGTTAACACATAAAAATACACACTTCTAGCCAAGCTTACAGGAGCACATGTAACTGAGTGCCTAATTTTCAGTACTAGCTGTCACTCATATTCAAAATTTGTGGATTCAGAAATATGCATGAAGCAAATGGACTGTCCAGCTCATTCACCTATAACTTCTCCATATACAATTTGTCATCTCTTCAGTATATATAGGTACTATATTTACTCATATATACCCAGATCTCTGTATGTCTTTACTGTTATGCCATTTACTTCTTTAATATGAAAGTTATATAAGACTGATTCACTTCTAGCAATAATGGACCTTTGAAAATGTGCTGGTTTCTTTAAAAGTGGACTGTGCCAACTTGTAGTTTTAACTTGCCATGTAATAGTTGTTAGTTTACTTTCCTACCTGAAGAAAAAAGTAAGATTATTTTTGACTTATGAATCAGCTGACTAGTTTTTACAAAGTTTGTGTTAATGACATGCCATTTGGAAATCTCCCCAACCTTTTACTTCTTAATTTTTTAAAATGAGGAATGATTTGACTGGAATATGAACTTGTAAGGTGGGAGTGAATCTAGTTTTGCTAATATGGATCCTGAATGAATGTATAGTAATAATTCTTCCAAAAATGTTTGACTTCTTTCATCCTGGTGCATCACACTAATAATAGTATAAAAGATTATTAATGCCATCTAGTGTGATTGATAATATTCAAAAACTTTTATCATTTTGTTATGCCCCAAATTTGAGATTAGAAGGAGGATTGTATTACCCAAAAAAACCAGAGACTTGCGAAAAGAGTTTCGCAGCTATTACAGTAAATTGTAACACCAGGACTGGCAAGTAGGCTAAGAATGCGTGGGATCAGCATTCATACGTAAGAGCACCAGCCAGCGCTTGTCTCACTGGGCCACTGGAATATCGTAATATTGCGGCAGACACAGCAATCAGACGCAAGGGGTCCGCCCCCAACCACCCATGAGAGCCAATGAGGAGGTTATTATGAGGATTGAGGACACTGAGGGGAAGTCACCCACCCTCTTACGTCAAGGCTGAATCAGCGAAATAAAACCATAAATTAGGGAATTTCGGGGGACTTGGGATCACGTTCTAACAGAATATTCAGTTGTCAGCCGGAGGCGCTACTCAATATGGGTTTAACAAGCGCCGGAAGGGCCTACAGTCTTCTATGTCAAGTAAGTTTGTTTACGCATATTAGCCATGCTGAGTGATAATCTCGTTGTTTCATAGTCTCGGTGATACAGTGTGTTGAGATATTACGTGAGCAATTTCCAGTGTACCCAGTGAGCCTGAGGGTAGGGTAATAGATTAATGTAAAGGCCTAGGACATTAGGCAGGCCATCAGTGATTCATAGGATATATATCAAGGTGAGGGTTAGTGTGTGTAGTAAAGATAGTATGTGGGAATTTGATATATAAACATAACTCAGGGTAGTTTATGTAGAAGAGACCGTACGATAGATAGGTAATTATATATCATGTGTAATCAGAAATGTACAGGAAAAATATATAGGTTCACGAGGGGACTTGCGTGTCCTCGTTAGCAAGTCCGATAGAGAGAGAGAGAGAGAGAG